TTCAAAAAATATACGTGACATCAAAGAGCAACTCTGGAAAAATTACATCTAGGGACACAGTTGTCATTTCATTACTGGCAAAATTCTCCCCTACTGCCTGGTACACTGGCACCAGCCATTTGCACCCTGCTACTGCCCCCACTGTGTTATAATAAAGAAGAGACTAATGCTGTGCTTTATAAGTTGGTTCGTATTCTGTACCCATAACTGATATAAAATTCTTTTTCAAACAATGCTATAAAAATGAAGGGCAAAATGTATCAATAAATAACAACCAGAAACCATTCATTCATTCATTCATCCCCAAATTGCCTAAAATATAATGGTATTCTTAGTAATAAGCTTAATCTTGTCATAAGTAATGAATGGGTCCCTTCTAAAATATTCCTCTGTTTACATTTCCTGGACCTAGCATGATATTTTACATGGAGTGGACATTCAATAAGTTCTTGAGGCAGAAAGGAAGGAGCAACGTAAAGACAGTAGGAAAGAAGGGGGAAAATCTTCCTTACATTTGCTTATGTAATGAAGTTAACTAGACATGCAATATTTTTTATGAAGAAAGACAAGATGTAGAATGGGAAATAAAATATTATGTTAAGGGGCCCCATGAATTTGAAATGAGGACTGGGAATTTGGATTCTTGAGGGGGTTTTACTCTTTTTGGTTCTTAACCTTTCTCTCCCATTCTTTGTTCTTTATCCAGGAATGATAAATGTGCGTATTTCACTTGATGATGTTCATATCTGGAATCTGATCATGGATCATTTGAAATGCAGGAACTCACCGCATTCTTTATTTTTTTTAAGATTTGTTTATTTGAAAGAGAGAGAGAGAGCATGAGCAGGGGTGGGGCAGAGGGAGAGGGAGAGCAAGAATCCCAAGAAGACTCCGCGTTGAGGGGAGCCTAACAAGGAGCTCAATCCCAGGACCCCGAGATCATGTCCTGAGCTGAAACCAAGAGTTGGCCACTCAACTGACTAAGCCACCCAGGTGCCCTTGCATTCTTTAATATAGTGATGTTTGGGGGCACCTGGGTAGATCAATTTGTTGTGTCTGACTCTTGGTTTCAGCTCAGGTCATAATCTCATGGGTCATGGAATGGAGCCCCGCATTGGGCTCCAGGCTCAGCGGGGAGTCCACTTGTCCCTCTCCCTCTGCTCCTCCTCCCACTCATAGTCTCTCTCAAATAAATAAATCTTAAAAAAATGATACAGTGGTGATTAACATAACAATAAAAATTATTTAAAAAATGATACAGTGATGTTTGTATTGGTTAGTCCTTGTGGAAAACATGGAAGGTGAAACTACACCAAAAAAAAAAAAAAAACCCCACACAAAAGTTACCTGCATTTATGTTTCTTCTATGAAACAAATCCAGATATCACCATCCCATCTAATTTTTTCTTAAGGGACTTGTTTTTCAGATGCTTCTGTTTTTCCAGTTTCATCAGTTTTGGTTAAGGACTTGGAGAGTGGAATGACAGCTGTATTTCCACTTGCTTTACACCATTTTATTTCCAGTACATATCACCTCACAGTGTGCTCCCTTGTGACACATTATGGGATCAGTAAATTAAAAATGAAAGGTGTGGTTGATGACTGACTGCTCTCTAATTACCCAGAGTGTTTGTCAAAGGCAGTAGGCAGAAGGCATAAGCCCCATTTTGCTGTTATAGTGACTGTCAAGTTTATAGCTCATTTCTGCTAGCATAGAAAACTTCCCCAATAAGGCTATCTGGTGGAGCAGACCTTTGCAAGTGGAATCAATCCCCTCAGCATCAGGATAAACAGACAGTGAAGAAAATGATCTAGTGATCAAGCTGGTTCAGCCCATGCTTCCAAAATAAGAAGCCTATCTGGGATGAGTGTTTCTCAACCTGTTGTCGCCCCATTATTGAGACTTTTTAAACATCTTTTCCTAATAGCTCATCCAGAAAATGTTAATACCATAGGTATATTTTTTTATCTGTTTATGGACAGTGGTCCTTTGGAGGAGTATAAGCCATTGTAACATCTTAACTTTTTTTCTCCCCACTAAGAACAACTTCCATCATCTTGAGAACGCATGTCTTGGATTATGCTTGCTAGTACACACTGAATTCTGATGATGTTTCACCAATTCTATATGCAAAGCTACCCTATTCTGGAATATTCAACTCAAGAAAATGTAAGATAGAAAATGGTTCTTTAGCAAATCATATATTATCAACTGAGAGAACAAATCTCCTTCCTCTCCTAAAAAGGAGGAAGCCCTGATAATATTAAAGAGCAATATGATTCCCAAGTCAAAATGGTGTCCAAATCAAAAATCTCACACCCACAATTTCAAACTCCCCCACCTACAGGGAGAGGGGCAGGCTTTGCTCTCAGAAAGGATAAGACTATGAGCTTGCAACAGTTACCATCTCATTTACTTATTTATCAGCACACATTTATTGAGCTCTGTAGACTTTCAACTCTGTGAGGGCAGGGATTGTGTTTGATTTTTGCTCACCACTGTAGAATAAAGGACAGAAAGAAGGAAGGGAGAAAGGAAGGAAAGAGAAAGACAGGGTACTATGCTAATGATTTGAATACTGCCTCCAAGAATATTATATGTAGTGTGAAGATACAGATATGTAAAAACAAATAAAGTAAAATATTATAATAATTTGCATTAAAAAGATACACAGCTATGGTGAGGATACAAATTAGTGGTTAATTCTATCTGGTTAGAGGTGGGGGGGGAGTCAAATAGGTTATGAGAATGTTCAAGGAGACAGCGTATTCGGATTTTTGTGGGCCCTTAGGGTACTCTTGCCTGTATGGTCTCCTTCCTCCATAAAAACACATTTAAATATAACATAACTGTGGTACAACAAGATGAGTATAATTTTCGGGGCAGTCTAGGAACCCATAACTGGGAGGTCCAGCAAAGACCTCCAGGAGGGGCAAGATGTTTAAGTGAAAGAAAGGCTAAGGACAAGCTGAAAGAGTGGCTGAGAGACAGGGAACAGCGTAGAGAGAACAGCTTGTTCAAAGGCCTGGAAGTGAGAGATCTGTTATGACTTAGATGAAAGAGAGAGAGAGAGAGAAAGAGGAGCAGGGTGCGAGATTAGAGAGGAAGGTGGAGGTAAACTCAGCAGGTCCTGCCTATGTTTTAGAAGTCTGGCTTTATCCTAAAGATAATTAAAAGCATCTACATTATGGGCGCCTGGGTGGCTCAGTTGGTTAAGTGACTGCCTTCGGCTCAGGTCAGGATCCTGGGGTCCTAGGATCGAGTCCCACATCGGGCTCCCCCTACCCTGTGGGGAGCCTGCTTCTCCCTCTGCCTGCCACTCCCCCAGCTTGTGCTCTCTCTCTCTCTGTCAAATAAATACATAAAATATTTTTTTAAAAAAGCATCTATGTTAGGAACCAACAGGATCAAGTTTACATTTTGGATATTCATTCAAGCTACATTACAGTCAATGGACTGGAGAGGGTATGGTGGATATTCTGGGGGTCCACCAGCCCCCTTCTTCAAGATCCATGTACCTACCCCCAGCTTCTGGAAACACTGGCTTTTGAAGGCTCACAGCTGATTCATTTGATGGGAGTTGCCCCCAGCCACAGGGAACTACCTTTCCCAGGGGCAGACCCTCCCCCAGAGAGCACCCAGGGCCATGACTGGCTAATGTGGAGATACAAAGGCCCAGCCACCTTATCTCAATCAGGGACAACCTCAGCTCCTAGGCTTCTGGAAGGATTGGCTAAAGCCTCTGTTGTAATCATGTTGCTGGTCACTTCTCCCTCTGCCTAATCCTACTCTTAACTAGTTTCCTATTGCAGCTAACACCTTACTGCAAACTCAGTGGCTTAAAAAAAGCACACATTTATCATCTCACAGTGTCCATGGGTCAGGAGTCTGGGCACATCTTAACTGGATCCTCTGCTCAGGCTGCAAAGTGTTGACCAGACGGCATTCTCATCTGGAGACAGTCTGACTGGGGAAAAATCCACTTCCGAGCTCACTTTAGTTGTTGACAGAGTTCATTTCCTTGTGGCTGAAGGACTAAAGACCTCAGCTTCTGGCTGGCTGTTGGCAGAAGCTGTCTTCAGTGCTGAGAGGCCACCTAAAGTCTGCTCACAGTCTCTTTCATGTAGGCTTTCCAAACGTGGCCATTTACTTAATCAAGCCAGCGAGGAGAGTCTCTGGAACAAGTCTGCTAGCAAGACAGACTCAGACATAATATAAAGTAATTGCAGGAGTAACATCTCTTTATCTTTGCTGTATTCCATGCAGAAGCAAGTCAGAGGTCCCATCCTCACTCAAGGAGAGGGGTTACATAAAGGCGTGAACATTAGGAAATGGCAGACATCTTAGAGTCTATTTGCCACACCTCCCTTCCTCACTTCTTACAGGTCTATCTCCTGAGAGCACTCCCCAATAAACCTTCTGCCTGCGATTACCCATCTTGGAGTCTGTATCTGGGGAGCAACACTGGGGCAGTAAAGGGAGTTAGAAACTGTTGCTGTAACATCAACTATGGGTGATAGCAGTAGGAGACTGAGCAGCAAATTTTCTTTCTATTCATAAATGTATAATAATTTATTATTAGAGATTAGAATAGTCATGGCCTATCTGGAAATAAAATGAAGTCTACAAACTATGAGATGTCTTCAAGCAAGGATACACACAACAAAAATAATTCATTTCTAGGGTTGTAGGACAGATTACACATAACTAGTAAAAATTAGGCTTACTGGGGCGCCTGGGTGGCTCAGTCGTTGAGCGTCTGCCTTCGGCTCAGGTCATGATCCCAGGGTCCTGGGATCGAGCCCCGCATCGGGCTCCCTGCTCTGTGGGAGGCCTGTTTCTCCCTCTCCCACTCCCCCTGCTTGTGTTCTCTCTCTCGCTGTGTCTCTCTCTGTCAAATAAATAAAATCTTAAAAAAAAAAATGTTTAAAAAAAAAAAATTAGGCTTACTAATTTCCACAGTATGAAAATAAATCTCAGACCACAATCAGTCACATAATTAAAAAGAGATGATTAGCACTTTTATTAAATTCACGGAGACTGTACTTTTACAAACTGCAGAAATAGTCAACCAATAGGGCTGCCTTATTAGAGAACAATAGAGAATAAGTTAAGTATTGGTATGATAACAGGATCAAATTCCACCTTGTGTACTGACACTCCCACGTACATCATTCATATCCCATTACAAACATTATATTTTATTCTTCCTTAGTCATATACAGAGTGATATAAACAATATTCAAAAAGGATCCATTTTCAAAGATTTTTACACCATATTATGCATATTCTCCACTGGAAAAATATCTCTCTGTAGATCTTCGAAGGGTGAAAAAATAGATATTTCCAGAAATACTTAATACTAACGCACTTTTAAACCAATAACTAAAGACACCACATGACTACACTTACACACTATGTTGTCAGAGAAATATTTTAGAATATTTTGAGTGGTCAACAGCTTATGATTCCAATGGTCTTCATGGGTAGAAATGATGGCCTTTTACTTTCATGCACATGCAAAATTTCTTAGAAGAGTGGTGAAACAAAATCGATGATCTGCCCTTGATCATTTATAATGCGCAGCAGTTGCACAGAAACAAGTGGTGAGTTTCTTGGGGAAGCAAAACAGCAGCCCTTTAGAGAGGGGTGAGCCGCTCATCCTCTGTCATGAAGGCATCGTTAATGTGCCCCCCCTTTGTGTCCAGAGGATCGCAGGGGATGCCATTCTCAATTGTGATCATATTTTCACACTTATCTTCCGTGTCATCCACTTCAGACGGTCCTTTGCTCTTCCTAAATGCACATAAAAAGAATGATTGGGGTCTAGAAGAAGAAAGCCTGGTCTTCTGTACAAACATGGAGGGCAAAAGAGGGATGAGGAAACTTAGAATGGTGAAATAACTGATAGCATTCCATACTTCAAATAAACTGCAAAGCTCATAAAGAGCTAATGAGGTGAAAAGTTGCTACAAGATAAGAAATCTCCATGGATGGGGCTCATCAATGGATACTCAACCATTGAGTAAGAGATGATTTGGGAACAGAGTATTCACACAGTCTCAGTCTATCACCCCCACAAGCAGTGTACTGATTATAGAGATATTTGTATTTTGTCAAGGAAGAAATCTGGTGAACATCACCAACAATGAGACAAATTGACAAGTGCCTCCAGATAAGATGCACTGAGATTTTATCTATAAAATTCTGTGTTCTGTGTTCCTATCCCGCCTTAGCACCAATTTTTTTTTTTTTTACCTGAATCTCTCAGGAGGAAGTAATCAGACAAGTCCAAATTTTAAAATATTTTTTTTTGGTGGGCAATACACCCATATAAATTTTAAAATATTTTATAAAACAGCCGATATGGACTTAGCACAGAGTAGGCACTCAAGTGATGTGCTTAGAGTTGGATGGACAGACATGGATGGACATGGATAGTTGGCTAGCTAGTTAGACAGACGGATGGATCAATAAATGTAGATCAATGGCTGGTTGGCTGGAAGATAAATTAATGGACTAATGCTGTAGGCAAAGTTACTCAGACAGTAGCCCAAGGTAGATCTTGAAAGGGATCCACCACAGAAAGAGAAAGAAAAGAAAAGAAAAGAAAAGAGAAGGGAAGGGAAGGGAAGGGAAGGGGAGGGGAGGGAAGGGAAGGGAAGGGAGAATATATACACACATAATATTTCTTGTATCTCTTGTATTGTTGCTTTTCCAAACGAATGGAGGAAAATATTTGTTTTCCTACCTTAAAAATTAGGAGTTAGTATAGATTTTGCCACGCTTTGCTGATGGTTTATTAGATAATTCCAAACAGCTGAGGTTCATAAAGAAAGGTAAAGTATCATTCCAATACTGTAGATCCCACTCTCATCGCTTGAAAGTATTTTGCCATTAGGTATGCCACTGTCAGGTGTCACAATTTATCACTACAGGCCTAATGTTGGGTTAGAAGTTGGGGGGTCCTAGTCCCAGAGACCTAGGAATGGATAAGTTGCTGTGTTTTTCCATCCTCAGGGTGAAAACACTGTATTGGCCATTCTAAGCTTCAGCCATCAGCAATTAATGCAGGTTGGGGTGAGCACAAAGTTTCATGTGATGAGAAGGTCCTACAGCCAGGTGAAATCACCTACCAGAGGACTAGAATACTTTGCCCCCCCTCTTGTGGACAGGAGTATTGTTACTTTCCATGTCCTCCAAAAGGCAAAAGCAGTTGACATTCTATAACCATCAATCATATCACTTCCATTCATAGTACCCAACATTCATTGAATAACTATGTTTTGAGTTACTACTCTGTGTTCAAACAGATAGATCCTCGTCCTACAGTGAAAAGAAAGGACTTAATAAAAGGGGAAAACTCCAAATTTCACTCATCTTCCCTCCCCATTTTTATGGATTATAAAAAAGAGCAGTGATGTTTCAGTAGGGATGAAGCCCCAGTAGTAACAAATGGATATTTATAAATTATCATCAAAAAACGTCTAGTTCGTGCAATTTCCCCCACACTCACTCCTCACTGGGCTTGGAGTGAATAAGAATTCTCCACAACAATAAATAGATTTTAAACAGTCAAATCTTACTCTAAAATATATATATTGTGTATATAAGTATGAAACTCATATTACAAAAATCTTAGTGGATTTTATATATATTATATATATATATAAAATTTAATGAATATAATCTAAAGCAGGTGGTAATGCAATGGGAGTCTTGGAAATAGACACCAGCTCCCTCAGTTAAGAAAGTGTTTTTACCAGGGCGCCTGGGTGGCTCAGTTGTGAAGCGTCTGCCTTCGGCTCAGGTCATGATCCCAGGGTCCCAGGATCAAGCCCCACATCGAGCCCCACATCGGGCTCCCTGCTCAGCGGGAAGCCTGCTTCTCCCTCTCCCACTCCCCCTGCTTGTGTTCTTGCTCTTGCTGTCTCTCTCTGTCAAACAAATAAAATCTTTTTTAAAAAAAGTGTTTTTACCAAGTTAGATGAAAAATCACAGGGAGCTGGACACATGCAGATCACTGCAAGGAATCTCCCTTTCCCCTCCCAACCATAAAGGAAAACTAATCCATTAGGTCTCACAAAGGAATGGGGAAGAACTAAAAAGAAAGATGCAAACAGCCGAGGACAAGTTTGTCTTCTTTAGAAGAAGGATTTCTCAAAAAGATTCTGAGCAAAATGGCTGTGGAAATGCATCTAATGGAGCTGTGCCAGTGGCAAATCAGGCACATATTGTGCTTTTGTGACCTTAGATCCAGTTGTTCAGAGTCTTGGCATTGCTCCACAAACTGCAGTGTCAGTAACGTGCTGGCTCGACACGATAAGCAGCTCAAAGGTTATCTAACAGTACCACGGCACTTGGTCACATTTCATAGTGTGTACTGTAATAAACTGATTCACTGCCTCTGCATTGCTCTTACTAACGATAATAAAACTTAACTATCTTTCTGGATCATTCTGATTTGATGTTCTGCTAAAAACATGAATTCTTTTTCCTGAAAAATAAAATTGAGTGTTAATGACTTCCTCTGTTCTTGCAATGTCCGGTGGTTCAGGAAGAGGATTTTTTTTTTTTAAAGTAACTAAAATACCTGAAACTAGTTCTCAAAAACCTTCAGAGTACATCCTTATCATAAGTCCAGAGAGAAGAGCGGCAAAAATGGGGACCAAAAAAAAAGACCGGATTACCCTTGGAGCTAAGGGGTGTCGAGGAGCAGGGTTTGCTCCAGATAAAGTAGTGGTGGGGCGCCTGGGTGCTTCAGGTGGTTAGGTGTCTGCCTTCTGCTCAGGTTGTGGTCCCAGGGGTCCTGGGATTGAGCCCCGAGTCGGGCTCCCTGCTCAGGGAGCCTGCTTCTCCTTCTCTCTCTGCTGCTCCCCCTGCTCATGCTCTCTCACTCACTCTCTAATAAATAAATACATAAATAAATAAATAAATAAATAAATAAATAAATAAATAAATAAATAAATAAAATCTTCTTTTTAAAGGAAAGATAAGGGGCACCTGGGTGGCTCAGTCATTAGGCGTCTGCCTTCAGCTCAGGTCATGATCCCAGGGTCCTGGGATTGAGCCCCCATCAGGCTCCCTCCTCCTCGGGAAGCCTGCTTCTCCCTCTCCCACTCCCTCTGCTTGTGTTCCCTCTCTCTCTGTGTCTCTCTCTGTCAAATAAATAAATAAAATCTTAAAAAAAAAAAGATAAAGTAGTGGTGGCTGAAAGCACAAAGAATATTTCTGTCTCCCTTCAAACTAGATAGGGCTGAAGAGCCAAGGCCCAAGAATAGCCAGAAAAACAACAAAGGATAGACAAATATGATTCTGAAACAGAACATAATTAATTACTGGGGAATGAGAACTAACCTCATAATCAGTATGGATGATTCCTGGGGAAAATGTCAGTGTTACTGGAATGATTTCAGTGGGCATTGCAGTCCAGTCAGATTGATGGGCTTTGGGATCCAGCCTATCTGGTTCTAAATACAGTTACTACTAACTTCCTGACCATGTGACTATAGGCAGGTTGCTTTATGTCTGCTGTGTGGTAGTGATAATAACAGTAATTAGTGGGGCGCCTGGGTGGCTCTGTCGTTGGGCGTCTGCCTTCGGCTCAGGTCATGATCCCAGGGTCCTGGGATCAAGCCCCGCATCGGGCTCCCTGCTCTGCAGGCAACCCTGCTTCTCCCTCTGCCACTCCCCCTGCTTATGTTCCCTCTCTAGCTGTGTCTCTCTCTGTCAAATAAATAAATAAAATCTTTAAAAATAATAATAATAATAATGATAATTAGTAACTATTACACGACAGAAACCAGACTTAAGTGCTTTTTTTTCTCATTTAGTTCCTATTTATCTCATTTAATCATCTCATTTAATTCCTATTGCAATATTATAAAGATTTTATTATTATCCCTGTTTTTCTTTCTTTTTTTTTTAAAGACTTTATTTATTTATTTGAGAGAGAGAGCACAGAGGGAGAGTGAGAGGGAGAAGCAGACTCCAGGCTGAGCAGAGAGCCCAGGAGGCTTGATCCGAAGACCCGGAGATCATGACCTAAGCCAAAGGCAGATGCTTAAGCAACTGAGCCACCCAGGCGCCCCTTATTATTCCTGCTTTTCAAATGAAGGAGCTAAGAGTCAACTATGTAGAGCAGCTTATCTTTGAGAATGGAACAAGATTGGTGAAACCAGTGGACCTAGAACTCTACCTAATCTCCCCAGGCTTCATTCAAAACACACATTTAATTCCTATTGAGTATTTACATTTAAGAACAGCAAAGGAAAACAATTATTAGCTCTAACATTTCTGATTTTATTTACACATCTATTTTTAAGACTTAATTAAAACTTGATAAGAATGTGAAATTTCAGTATATGAAAATGTTGGCTGAGCCCCATCCCCTTGTTTGAAAAGCAGTATTTGTAGAAATCTAAATGTATTTCTGCTTACTACTGACCTTATGGGAAGAGAAACATAACCAGAAATAAACCAAGTGAATTTACTAATGACTCTGCTCAACTGTGAGCATTAGCTAGGATTCTATGTCCAGAGTCCTTAACCTGGCTTTGTTACCAAGTGTAAGACTATAATCTCCTTGTAGGCAGGAACCATCCACGTTATCTGTGTATGTATCTTCCCTGATAAATACTAGAGCTCCCCTCACAGAATGGATGGTCAATATAGGAATAAGGTATTTTTTACCTCTTTGGGCCTTGGCTTCTGGAGAGATGAATTTAGAGCACTTTCCAGTGTATAAAGCACCTGTGTGTATTCTCTAACTTTGTCTTCTCATCATCATAACTGTTTAAGAAAATATTATTATCCTCATTTTCCATATGTGACTGGCTCAAGATCCCCCAGATAATAAGCACCAGAGCCTGAGACTGGAACCCAAAACCAAGAGTATCAATCCAGTGCTTTTTCTACTAAAACACGCATCACATCAACTGCATCACTGTTGTCATTGTCACATCACCATGGCCATCACAACCATTGCTGTCATCATCATTATCATCATCATAAAGCTGACCAGAGAACTAAAACATCTACTTGTGGGCCAGCACTAGACACAGATCCATACTAGGACATCATTGTGGAGTACATGCATTTCATCTTGGGTACCTGCCCACCTACCCAGCTGCCTAATTGTTTCCCAAAAGTAAAAAAAAAAAAAAAAAAAAAACCATTTTCCAACTTTTTTCCTTTGACAAGTCTCTCATTTCCACAAACTGCTATTCTCAACTAGATGGTAATAGCAAAGCAACTTCCTCAAATTATTTCACAAGGAGGTGGCATTTGTAATGGTGTGCTGAAGCTGGCTGGTATAGGCTTGAGATAGGTGATTGTTAAATATTCAGAAATTTCATACTTGATAGGAAATCAACAAATGCTACAAATTGGGATTTTTTTTTTTACAAAGCTGGTTAACCAGTTCACCACTATTATAGTAAACAGTAACCCTAATAAGATCATTTGCTTTTTAACATATGTGTTTGTTAACTAATAAAATCCCAAACAATGAGCCATTGAACTGGAAAATTTTTTATAGTATCACGACAATTTCTGGATGAAAACGAGATCTCTTTTCAGTATCTCTTAGTCACAGAAATAGGTTAAGCTGATCTTGGATAATAATACTGTTTATTTAGTGCATGCTAGGTACCTCATACACATTTATCTCATCCAATCTTCATGGAAGCCCTGTGAGATATTATCTTCCTACTACAGATGGAGAAACAGTCCCATGGAAATCGGATGACTCGACCAAGGTCATTTGGCTAAAAGGTACAGCTGGTGTTTGAGTTCACCTCGTTTGGCTCCCAATGACTGTATACTTTACAGCCAGCGGCTATGAATAAATCAGTGTAATGCTGTTACTGACACAGGCAAAAGAATTGTTAAAGCTTTCCTTGAGAAATTTCCTCAACAGTAAGTTTAAATATGCATATGTCGTAGATGACAGTGGCACTCTTCTCCACAGAAGCAAAATGGTAACTGAGATGACTCTGCAGTCTCTCCTGGCCTTCTAAATGTAAGATTTTGTATAATGCAAACTATGTTTGTTAATATCTAATGTATGGGTTGAATTGTTGAGCAAATCTTTGTCTTCCTCAGGACTAAAGGCACTGGGGGCAATTCCTGCCTTTTCCATGATTAGAAAGGGCTTTCATCACCATTACCAGGGCTCTCCCCACTCTAGACTGCACCCTCTCCACACCTTCGAAGCAATACTTTGCTCAAGAGAAGCCCACCACAGATTTGTATCTAACTTAAAACACAACAAATCAATTTATCTTCCGAAGGTTGTCATAACTGTCCTGACTCTATTTGCCAATTAGTGATGCTCTCCAGGTTTACACAAGAGATTTGTCCGTCTGTTTTCCTAGTCTGAACACAAAATGAATTTGCGAAGGCAAGGTTGTGAGAACAGCCTCACTTCTCCCGGGCAACAGATTATGATGCTACACACCCAATTATTATATTACCGCAGAACCTGCTCAGCAGGAAAGAGATAGCACAAGCTGGAAGACCAGTAAATGGCAGGATAATAAAATAACAGTAACAGCTAACACTTATTGAGCACTCACCGTGAGCCGGGCACCACTCTAAGCATGCCACAGCATTAACTCTTTTTATCCCACCAAGTTCATTATTTCTGGTATAACTCGCTGTCACTCTCGCAAAGTTATCTCTGCACAGGCAACAAATAAAGATTTAACCCATTCGACACTAGCACCACAAACCATAATCTTCTGAGCTTGGGTTCCCTGACTCATTGCCTATGCTTCCTGATATGCACAGAGTTAATGGGCTACATACAAGAGCAGAATCCAGGATACAAACACTTTGAATCTAAGCAGTATGTCTCACCGTCCATCCTTCTAACTCCTACAGTATACTGTGCTAGTGAGAAAACTGGGAACCAAGGAGATGAAGTGAATTCACAGAGGTTATGATAGTTAGAAATCATAGAATCACAGAATTCTAGGATTAATACGGAACTTAAAAATATTAAACATAAGTAGTCAAATATTGCAAGGGAATCTTTCTTAATATTAAAAAAACTGAAAACAAAACAAACTGAAACTTGTACCAAGGCTCTCTGCATTGCACGTCATGCCAAGATGAAGAAAATCAAGCAAATACAACGTGATTTTAATCTTTGAGTTTAAGTTGGGGACTAGACATAAATCTCATTTATTCCAGAGCATTTCACTTCTCATTTGTGAACAAAAGTTATAAAGGCCAACATTTGAAATGATTCCCTTCTGCTAGTAACTAGAGCGAGACATGTGGAAAGTAGTAAACCGCCTGAGAAACATTTAGTTGAACCCACACTTGGCCAAACTCATCCCACATGTCTGTGTGGGCATCGACCCTTTTGAAAACCAATGCACATCCCTGTGATTCCCACTTATCAGAATTCTTCTTCCTTGGTATCAGATGAGAAGGTTTTTAGAAGAATCAAATTGTCTAGTGAAGAGTAAGGACTCTCTCCACTTCCCCTCTGGATCAGAGGCACTTATAAACAAATGATTTTCCCCTCTCCTCCTGTCCCACTGCCTTTGTAACTTTCCCACTGGTCTGAAATTCTCCCTTGAAGTAACTGCAATAATTTAGACAGCAAAGTTTGTAGGTGCCCCAGGATCCAGGTAAAGGAACTCTGGTAGTAGGAATCTCCAAGTTGGAAGCTCTCAAACTAAGTGAATTAGAATAACCTGGATATTCATTAAAATGCATCCCCATCACAGATTATAATTTAGAAAGTCTGCAGTAGGGCAAAGGAACCTACATGTTAAACAAGTGTTCTGGGTGATTCTGATGCAAGGTGTTGATTCAAAGTTCACTTTGAGGAACATGGTTCCATATAATACTATAGGCACTAGAGGAGCAAGCAGTTGTTGAAAGGAGGGACGTATAGAAGCCCAGAGTATCTGGGACAAGATGGCAGCTATCGGCACCGGGCCAAGAAAAAGCAAGCCAAGCTGAGGATGCATGGAAAGAACTGTGGGACTGCTAGCATTTGGAGGTAGAGGACTATTAAAGATTAACTCTGCCCACCCAAAAAGTCTGCTTAGTTTTGTATATCCAACTTACAAAAGCATAATACAGATATTAAAATCAATTCTTGATATGAAATATTCATATGGAGTAGAATAAAGAAAAAGATAGTAATGGAAGGAGTCATGGTTAGTAAGGGACACTGGACTCTAAAAGTCTCTAAACACAAGAGCCTAAATGATATTCCAATAATCACCAGTATTTTCAAAGTTTCAGATTTAAGGCATTATCTTCAGCTTGGGGAAAATCCTCTCCTTATTTTTCCAAGTCATGAGGAAATAGGAAAATCCTCCCTAAATCACTCCATATCTTACCTTCTACGTTGCCGGATTCCCGATAAAATCAAGAGCAGGACTGCCACTATGACAATGCAAAATATCACACTGAATATAATAATCCAGATGGGTACAGATGGGTCAGTTGGTGGTGCAAGAGTGGAAGGAATTTTTAAAAATTCCAGGGTCTGGTCATTCAAAAAGAAGGCATTGTTGATCCGGTTCCTATTCATTCTACAATATGATGAATAAAAACAAACAAGAGAAAAAAATTAGAAACAGAAGGTACAGACCTATCTCTCCATGATTCAAATTATCTCTAGAAACAGAGCATCCCTGTAGCAAGAGACCTCAGGTTGACTAGACAGTTTGACGGGGGCAATCATGCTTTGGTACCCTTTTCAAGGCAGTGCTGGCTGCTACTGAAAGGCTCGCCTACTGCCCTCCATAGCTGGGAATGTCCTAGAAGTAACCAGAACTCCTGAGCTTCAAGCTCTGTCCACCACGTTTTATTTCCAGAAAAGTAGCATCTAGATTAAGATGACACAACTCTCTTTAAGGCGGCTCACACAAATACCAACAGCCAGAAGAGGGAAAATTGTGTGGGTGAGAAACATAAGCCGACAAGAAAACTGGGAGTAAAAAAGAAAACATGAAGCCAGGAGCAGCTGCAAAACCAACAAATTGATTTTTTTTTCATTAATTCAACAAACCTTTGCTGAAAACTTACCAAGTACCAGATATGAGGCTAAGTGCTAGAGATATGAAGTGAAATGAAACTACCAAGGCGCTTATAGTCTAGTGCACTCTAGAAGGGTGGCACTTCAGTCCCTCCACAATCCCAGCACAGTGCAAGATGTTCCATGACAGAGCTTAAGTATGGCCACGATGGGAGACGGGGGGTGGCCAAGAACATCATAGCGAGAAGTCAGGGCTGCTTTCCTGAGAAAGCAACCTTTGAGCTGTGTTTTGGAATTCTTGTTTAGGAATTATTGAGACCAAAGTGTGTAGTGAGCACAGGAATGGAGACAAGGGTATAGTAGATTTGTTCAGGAAACTACAAATTTCGTACAACTAAAGTCACTGGCGTTTGAGAAGTCCAAAACTCTAGAAAAATATCCAGGTACTCTTCCCTGGGGAAAATCTGCATTTTTGGTGGTGGCAGCAATGAGGGAGGGGTTGATAGTGAAGATTTACTTGACTGAAACGAAATAAGTGAATTTCTAACTGGAATTTGCAAACTAGATGAGGAGCTTTCTTGGGGATATTGTGTGGCCTTGACTGAATTCACACTAGACAAGCTGACTTCATCTGCCTCTAGAGCAGCAATGGAAAATACATATATAATGTGAGCTTCATGTGTGACTTCAAATTCTCTAGGAGGTGCATTTTAAGAAAAAGTAAAAAGAAACAGGTGGAATTATTTTAATTTTTTTAAGTAGGCTCCACACCCAACATGGGGCTTGAACTCACGGCCCTGAGATCAAGAGTCACATGGTCTACTGACCAAGCCAGCCAGGTACCCCAAAACTATTTTAATAATTTTTTTGCCCAATATATCCATAAAAATATAATTTCAACATAATCAATATTGAGTTGGTTCACATTTTATTTTGCACCCAATCTTTGAAATTTGATGTGTACTTTACACTTAGGGTGTATTTAATCTTGGACTAGCTATATTTCAAGTGCTCAGTAGTCACATACGGAGGGTGACTACCATCTTGGACAGTGCAGGTCTTGAACCTGACAGTAACGGCTTGAGAATCTCTGCAGATCAGCACTAGGCTATCAGGAGAGATCTCCTTTAGCAAATAAAAATCAATGAGGCATGATTATTCACAAATGTGAAAAAGAATCCCAGCCAGATAATCTATAGCAGGGGATAATTCCAATGTAATTTTTTATCATAATACCCTCCAGTTCCATCCATGTCATTGCAAATGGCAAGATTTCCTTCTTTTTGATGGCTGAGTAATATTCCAGCGTGTGTGTGTGCGCGCATGTGTGCGCACACATCTTCTTTATCCATTCATCGGTTGATGGACATCTGGGCTCTTTCCATAGTTTGGCTATTGTCAAACTATGGAAAGTTTCCTTTTTCCATAACCTATCATTGATAATCTGGGAACACAAACCTCTCTACAAAATAATGAGCCCCACTACTAAGGTATAGCTCAGAGTAAAATGAGATGTTGCTCTGTATTCTCATTCTATCTACGTGGTTAGTGAACACTTTGCTGTTCTTTTGCCTCTCGGGATGATTAGAAGTTCTAGATCAGTACAGACTAAATCTCCAACCACCACTGAAATCCCCAATAGGTGTCAACCACATGGATATCTTCCAGCCAAGATTGGCCTGATAAGGCCAGGCCCTCACAACAGAGCTAAAACAGACATCTTAGAACTGGTGGGTCATTCTCTCCAGTAATCCCATAGGTGTGGACACTCTGGGGGAGAGAAAAAACACCACTGGATGTGATGGCAGCATGCCTGGGTTCAAGTCCTTACTCTTCATTTTTCTAGTGTGGTGGCCTCAGCAAATCAATTAGTCTCCCTGAGTCTCAATTCCCTCACTTATGAACCAGGGATACTAATAATCACTCAGGGGCGCCTGGGTGGCTCAGTCGGTAAAGCGTGTGCCTTCAGCTTAGGTCATGATCCCGGATTCCTGGGATTGAGCCCCACGTAGGGCTCCCTGCTCAGCAGGGAGTCTGCTTCTCCCTCTGTCCCTCACCTCTTTCTCTCTCTCTCAAATAAATAAATAAAATCTTTAAAAAAATAATTACTCAAAAGTGATTGGTGCTGACATTAAATGCCACAGATGTGCAGGAACACACTTTATGAAGCAGAAAGGGTTATGCAAATATTAAGTGGAACTAGCACTATTTTGCCCAACTCCGCAGATTCTTCAGCCTTGAAATTTCCTATTACCTCTCCTCTAGATGCCATTCCCTTGCTTTTCATGCTATCCTTCTTTCTTGGTATCGTTCCCTCTATTTTCACACGATACTGACGAGACCTATCCCTAACATAAATTCTCATTCTCTCGGCCATCCTCACCCCCTAAGTAGCTTCTGCTGCTAGGACCTTTCACAGAGACATTTTGTTGTGGACATATTCACCTGTATCCTCCGCCTTTACCCCCAGCACTCACATTAATGGAAGCCTGCCTTCACCGCAGTGTCTTCATTTCCTTGTAGCCTTCCCAGATCATGGGGGAGGGCTTGAATAAAACTCCTTTCCATGTGAAATACAATGTTCTTAATTCTTATTCCCTAAGTGGTGGGTCTTAACAATATTTTTTAGTGGCAAAAGCACAGGAACAATGTAGTTCAAACCTTCTTGTTAAAGCAGATTAAATCATTTCCCACTATATAGATCCTCAAGGCCTTTGCTTCGGCAAGGGAAATGGATTATTGTTCACACAAAAACCTTTGGCATTAATTATATACTCATTATCTTAAATGTTAATATTTTACAGAGAGCAAATGAGTTCTTATACTAGATATTTCTCCTTGGTAAAGAGAATAATGTGTATTTCGGTAACTTGTAAGTCTGTTGTGAGGGGAGTTACTTTGTTTCATTCTTTCTTTTTCCAGAAATAGTTTATTTTCTGAACTCATTCTTCCAATGTATCTTTGCCCAACATTAATCATTTGAAGGATGGGAAGTTTACATGCATAAAGTGCACATTGACTGAAGTAAAAACAAATTGCATCCTTCTTTGAAGTCAAGAATACACTTCACTTTTGAAAGTTTGTTATGATCACAAGGAGAGGCAGAGAGGAACTCTCAGGAAAGACTGTGTAAAATTTGAAATGGGTAAAAAATATTACTGAGTATCTGGTGAATACAACTTTCTGGACAACTTATACCTTCTATTTGTCTTTCAGTTATTTTGCAGATCTGTAAGTGGTAGAAAACTGACATAATGTAAATGACTTTTGTCCAGAGAAAATCAAGTGAATTGTGTCTGGTGGAATATGATTGATCACTACCCGATGGATAGAATGGTGCATCTTTTTGTAAATGGTCATCACCATTCCTTGATTCTCATAGATGCATGGTTCCTTGAAGTCTCCTTTGAACTGGTTTTACTGTTTTACTGGTTCCCTCATTAATTAATGAGATAATAAAATCTTTAGTGGCATTTATTTTTAATTTGTATAAGAGTCATGCTCTTACCTTGTTTTTTAAAAAGTATCTTTTAGGGCGCCTGGGTGGCTCAGTTGGTTAAGCAACTGCCTTCGGCTCAGGTCATGATCCTGGAGTCCTGGGATCGAGTCCCACATCGGGCTCCCTGCTCAGCGGGGAGTCTGCTTCTCCCTCTGACCCTCTTCCCTCTCATGCTCTCTTATCTCTCATTCTCTCTCTCTCTCAAATAAATAAATAAAATCTTTAAAAAAAAATAAAAATAAAAATAAAAAGTATCTTTTAAAGGCAAAGACTGTACATTAACTAAAGAAGCTAAGTCCTTAGAGACCCAAAAAATGAGACTCTTTTTATTGGTTTTCAAATAAAAGTCAAAGGTATGACTTGTCCTTCAAATCACCTTACATTTATTAACTCATTTAACCTTCTCAGCAACTCTGAGAGGTACCATAACTATTCCCGTTTTATAGATTATAAGAGGAAGACAAAATGAGGGGAAGTAACTTGTCTGTAATCAAGAAACAAAACCAGAATTTAAAACCTATGCATCTGGGCTCTAGAATCCATGTGATAAACCATCACACAACAGCACTGTACAAGATGTTCTTGCCGAAGGAAGACAGCACTGAACATTCATAGCTAATATTTAAACCAGGGATTCTCAGCCACAGCACAATTGACATTTGGGGTTGAATAATTCTTTGTTCTGAGGTGCTGTCCTGTGCATAGTAGGATGTTTAGTAGCACTCCTAACTTCTGTCTATTCAAGACCCCACCTCCCCCACCTCAATTGTGACAACAAAAATGTCTCCTTGGAGGCAAAATTGTCCCTGGATGAGAAACACTGATCCAAACTAATCCTTAATACAAGCTAACAAAATTAAATCTTTCACATATTAATAAATAAATCACTGTGAAGCAAAGAGAGAATTCCTCAAAATTTATGAAAACAGTCAAATCAATCAACAAGCTGATATACCAGTAGAAGACATATTTAGTGATGATTACCTTATGGCTGACTGTATCTCAACAGCAGGAAGGGTGTGATTTTTTGAAGGATCTGTAACCACAAACCAGAATGACACCCGCTGGGTTACATTGCAAAGTAGGACGTGGGAAATTCTGCAGATGATGGTGAAAAAAAATATATATTATAAGCAAATAATGACTAATTCCATTAGAATATCCACTCTGGTATTATTACCATCTTAAAAGGTGTCTTAGCTATGAATGAAGCCATTTCTACCATTTTAAGAAATGCCTTATTAAGAAGAAAATAACATAGGAAATTTCCTTTGTTTCAAAATCGGATACTTGGGATCATTCCTAAAATAAGAATCTACCAAAATGAAAAAATAACAAAAAGTACACCGTCGAGAGTGTTAAGGATCTCATTCTCCATCACCTGTTAGCTGACAGCACCCCTGCTTCCCCAACACTGGGCCTCTTTCTGAACCACAGATGCCTTTGGTGTTTCCTCATCAAGCTCTTTTTAGTCTCATTCCATCTTCCACATCTCAGATCCAGACAAATCCGTTGCCACCCCTTGCTCCAATACATGCTTGCTGTGTTGGCCAGACCGCCGTCCCTCTCCCACTCCAGTACTGGAGCAGACGCAACACGAGACCTCCAAGCTGAAGGGCTATCACCAATTTACCAGCAGCCTTTAAACACGGTTTCTGCGATTACCTGCTTTCCAACTGTCAATTGAGAATGTGCCACACCACTCTGTATACATACATCACCAGTAGATATGACAGGAAAGAAATGACATTAGTGTTCAGATTGGAGACAATTATATATGAATGTATGAAAGATATAAAGGTTGAAAATTATAGGAGAGTCCACATAACTCAACGTTCTCAGGGCTAAAACATAAATCATGAATGGCATTCACCATTTTCTTAAGAGCACAATTGCAAAAAGTGACATTAACAACCATTCTGGAAGAGGGAAGCACACATCCCCTTCACTAATAAACGTAGATTCCTCTTCCTTTTAAAGAGCATCCAAGTGCATTATGTTCATTTTTACAGTAATGAAGGAGAGTGTCATTCCGTCGGTTTTCTGTAATTTTCAGGACCTGATCGAAATGCCTACATTTTCTCCCTTTCAGTGTCAGGTACAAAAGCCGAAGCCCTCGTGGCCCCTCTGCCTAGAAGCCAAGCGCCTGGGGCCTGCAGTGGGAGCTGGAGGTTCCCCTGTCCTCAGTAGCGGCGGGCTCCCGGGGCAGTCTCCGCGTCCGCGGGGCCCTGGCCTGGCTCGTGCCGGACCCGTGTCCAGAGCGTTCCCCACGTGAGACTCCACGTGCCGCCCTCGCGCTATAACACCAACAGTCGCTCTTAGACCTGCGAGTTCCGCGTCCGCCGACACTTGGGGCACTTGTGAAGGCCGGATTTCCCCGTCAAAGGCCCCAACCCCGCCGCACCGCGAACATGGGCAGCTACCTGAGCAGATACCCGGGCAGATACCTGGGCAGAGCCAAGGCCACGCTGCCACGCCACGCTTGGAGGCGCCAGTCCCTGCGGCCCAGGCCGGCCCACCGCCCCCTGGGCCAGGTTCAGAGGCAAATCATTTCCATGCACCGGGAGCGCTGGATCGGGAGTCGGCCCCGCCCCACCCTGCCACCCCACCTGGACCACCCCAGAGTCCAGAGGGCGATAGTCCCCAAGGCCTGGAGGCGCTTTCACAGCAAGTCACCCCTCCACACCTTCCTGGGGTTGGATTTCTCTAGCAACCGCGAGAGTTTCATGAAGCAGTGGCTTTGGAAAGCCCAGAACCTCCTAAGCATCTGCAACGTGGTGACCATCAAAATCACTCCTCCTGAGCGCAGTGGGAGCTTCAGCAGGGGTCCACCCATCCCGGAGCAGCTGGACTGCTGTGCCAAGGAGACCCGGCTGAGGGCTCGGAGCCCATGCAGGAAAAGAAAGAGGATCCACAGACCTCTCCAGTTTGAAGCCACCCCCACCAAGAGAAGGAGGCCGAGCCCAGGGGCCAGGCCATCTGCCTTCAAGCCTGTGTGGAAAGATGGAGTGGTCCCTTCCTTTGTGCCCAGGCCGGGGCCTCTGAGAAGGGGCCTCTGCTCCTGGCATCCTGGTGACGGAGCGGACGCCCACCCCGGGCCTGACCTGCTGCCAGACCACCGCAGAGTCCCAGGCCTCGACTGAAGAGCTGATGATCAGCACTCCCCAGGGCCTGGGCCCTCCTGCAGCCTGGGGTCCCCCTTGACTCCTCAGCCAGAGCCCTACCCCCACCACTTCCTGAGACTCAAAGCCACAGTTCTTTTACCCTGCTGACCCCTGCTTGACCCCTGCATGAGTGACTGACCCCACCAGTCAGCCCTCACCACCCCAGCATGCAGCCCCTCCAAGCACCCAGACCCACCTCCCCGCACCCTGCAGAGTCCACACTGAAGAAGCCCCGTTGCTTTCAAAACCTCTGCCTTCCTCCTGCCCATCCACTCCTCCTGCCTTTTCCCTGGAAACACTCTGAGCAGGAAGACATGCTTCTCCCCTATATTCCCAGTTTCTAGAGTGAAAACTGGTGTTCTTATTTTTAAAATAATAACGAACAACCTCATTGTCATACAGAGTGTCTTTGTCTTTCTTGCAAAGGTACATATATTAGGATTTCGTCTACACCACGAATTCTCTACCCTGGCACGGTAAACATGTGGGACCAGATAATTCTTTTGTTGTTCGTTGGGTGCTGTCCTCTGCATTGTAGGGTTTTAGCAGAATCCCTGGCCTCTATCCTCTAGGGGCCAGCAGCATACCCGCATTGCGAAAATACAAAAAAATATTTCCAAACATTGCCATATATTCCAGAGGGAGGTGGAGGGGGTGGGGGGGTGCGGGAAGCACTCCCAAAAAAACCAAAACAAAGCACCACATTGGTGGAAAACCACTGAGGGACAGTGACCTCTACTGGCAGAAACAGTCAAGCTTGGTCTTTAAGATTTTAAAACGGCAAAGATACAGAGATGAATAAACCGAAGTGGTACATGTTTGGCAAAAACATTTCCCCCAGGATTGGAGAATGCTGTGGATGAGTGTGAATGATTCAAATAGTTTGGCAATATTAATAATCAGAAAATGTAAATTTTAAAAGAAATAAGCTACTCTTTTAAGCTTCTCAGGTTGCCAAATGAAAATGCTAAATACTGTGAAATGCTGGTAAAGATGCTGAGGATTGGAACCCCAGGCAGTGCTGTGGGTGTGAATCTGCAGCAGGACTTGGAAGTTTTCCTAGAGCAGAGTGTGACTATGAGAAACTCTCCTCCACGTGTGTGTACACACACACACACACACACACACACCGCATACCACACACACCCCACACACACCCCCCACACACACACACCACACACACCATACATACCCAACACACACCACAAACACCACACCACACACACACACACCGCACACACACAGATGCACACACACCGCACACACAGTGGTGAGGATGTTCTTCCCAGTACTCTGTCAGAGCAGAGAACTGGAACAACCTAAATGCCCACCCACAGGGGGATGGATAAAGCAGACACGCTATGTGCTATCAAGGGAATACTGTTCCACAAATTGAAGGAAAGAAGGAGCCCAAGGATTCTCCACTCGTGGGCTACTGGGCCACATAATTCTGTGCACTGCAGGATGTTGAGTGGCACACCGGGCCTCTATCGCCCGCATATCAATAGGACCAGCTCCAGTTGTGACAGTCAAACGCATCTCCAGACATTGCCAAATATCTCCAGAGGGACAGACATCACCCCCAGTTGGAAATCACTGAACTCCATATTTTTAACGACAGGTTACATCTCAAAATACACTGCTGAGTGGAAAAGATAGGGAGTGGTATATTATGTGTAGCACACGCCATTTGTAGAATTGAAACAAATGCAAAGTAATATTGCTGGAATAATGGGGAAGCCAGGAACCGGGTAAGAGGTCATCTGGACGCTTTGCCTGCACTGTTCTTTCCATCTAAAGCCTCTTTAAATCCTGTTCAAACATGAATTTCATGGCATCCCCCTTTAGAGAGTCAGAGAATAAACAAAGCAAAGTCTCTTCTCCCATGAAGCTTGCTTTCTAAGGGGGTGCAGAGAGAAGATAAATAAATGGACACACTAGCAGGTGTGGAGAAGTGCTATAAGGAAAAATAAAGAAGGAGGAAGGACACATTTAAAAGTCCGCCAACACAACCGTGACCCCATATACTTTCCTGTGTCCCCATCACTGTGGAACTACACCATCCTTTACTACAAATTCAGGTTCTTTACTCAGGGTTTCCATTGGTGGCAACTCATGCTTTCGTGTAGCACCTCGGCAAAGGGATTGCAAATATTTTACCTACCTAGATATAAAGATTTCTAGAAGATTCACATTGTTGCTGAAAATATTAAACTCAGCATTTTCAGTGTTGACAGTTACTGTTAGATACAAAATGTCCTGGACTGAACCTCTAGAAATCAAGTTTGTGTTTTGAAGTTTACTACCTGCCATTTGCTAGACTTGAGACAAGGCCTTTCACTCTACGTGAGTTGCTAGAAAGGGCTTGAGATCTAGTGTGTCCATGAGGGTGCTGGTGGTATTTTGAGGAGGAGATTCCTTATTACATGGGACTGTCCTGAGCTTAGCACCATGTTGATTATCTCTCAGCCCTGCCGTCTAAATGCCACAACACTGTCCAGGCATAGATGTAGTCCAAAACACACCACATTTCCATATGCTACCTGGATGGGGTCAGAACCGTACCCACATAAGAAACACTTATAAACCTCCTCCAAAGTGTCAAGGTCCTGAAAACCAAGGCAGACCAAGTTCATGAAAACCAAAGGAAGATGGAGAAACTGTCTCCATCACTGGAATGATCACCGAGGAGGTACAGATTCTGGAACAGAAGAAGGACAGTGAAAAGGGGAAGTAGATCTAAAAATTCCATTAGCTTAATAATATTGAAATAATGATAGATCCTTAATTTTCATATATCTATCATGGTTATTTAAAATAATAGCATTAGCTGGAACACATCAAAAACTAATGATGTAATGTGTGGTGATTAACATAACAATAAAAAATTATTTAAAAAAATAATAGCATTAGGGAAATGAGTGAAGAGTCTAG